TATATTTATTAGCTAGACTCAAAAGGATTTTACCATTTGATTATTTATGGCACAATGAACTAAATAAGATTTTTTAGTAGCTAAAATATGAGCAAGAAGGCACAGACTTGGTAGGAGTTTCATTTCGCTTTCCCCCACTGCTCCCCAAATCCTTCCTAAACAATAAGGCCACAACATAGTAGTATCATTTGAATGAATGAATGAATCAATAAATAAATAGGAAAAATTCATCTGCTTAGTATAAAAGAGATTTAAAACCTTTCAAATGCACACAATCAATGGAGATTTCTGTGGCGGTGTGGGAAACCACACTACAGACAAGCGAAAGCTTCAGGAAATCTACATATCATGCAACCCTGGAACTTGACTGAGATGCCATCCTGGCTGGAGCCCAGGCTACGGGGTCACCAGATAAGATGAACGTTCGAGGACAGTATTCTTTTTCCCTTCTAAATTGATTTCTGTTTTTACTTTTCTGGGCATATGGCTTGAATTGTATTCTTGTACTCACCATCATTTCCATTAACTCATATTTACTGAGGAACTACTATGTTCTATGTTACTATGTGCCAGACACCGAGTATAGCATAGTCAGCTAAATAGACTTGTTTGAATGTAAGTTGCTACCTGAGGGTTTTAGGGAGTTAGGTTATTTACATTGTCTTCACCTGAAATATGGGATATTATTATAAAATATATAATTTGTAATATTCCATATACATGTAATGGAATATTATTCATCCATAAAAAGAAAGAAATCCAGTCTTTTGTGACAACATGGGTGGACCTTGAAGGCATTATGTTAGTAAGCGAAATAAGTCAGACAGGGAAAGACAAATACTGTATGACCTCACTTATATATGAAATCTAAAAATGTTAAACAGAGAGAGTAGAATGGTGTTTGCCAGGGGGTAGGAGATAGGAGAAGTGGGGAGATGTTGGTCAAAGGGTACAAACTTCTAGCTGTATGATAAATTCTGGGGATCTAATTTACAGCATGGTGATTATAGTTAACAATGTTGTATTACATACCTGAAAGTTGTTAAGAAAATAGATCTTTAAAGTTATTACCACACCCACATAAAAAAGATAATGTGAGGGGATGGAGGTGTTAGCTACCCTTATTATTGTAATCATTTTGCAATATATATGTATCAAATCATTACATCATATACCTTAAACTTACATATGTTATACGTCAATAATATTTCAGTCAAGCTGAAAAAAATTTGTCTTCACCTGATGGGAAAGATGACCACCTGATTTTGGCTCAAATCTGCCACAGAAATTTCTTTTAAAAATTAAAAAAAAAATTAAAAACAAATTTAAAATTTTAAATATTTTTCAGTTTTATATCCCACATATGAATGAAATCATATGGTTCTTGACTTTTTCTGTCTGACTTATTTCACTTAGCATGATAATCTCAAGATCCAGCCATGTTGTCACAAATGGTAATCTTTCATCTTTTCTTGTGGCTGAGTAATATTCTATTGTGTATATATACCGCATCTTCTTTATCTAATCATCTATTGGAAGACACTCAGTTGTTTCCATGTCTTGGCCACCGTGAATAAAGGGGGAGGGGGATGGTAGAAGAGGGTAAAGAAGGTCAAATACATGGTGATAGAAGGAGAGCTGACTCTGGGTGGTGAACACACAGTGTAATATATAGATGATCTATTATAGAATTGTACACTTGAAACCTATATAATTTTACTAACCAATGTCACCCCAAATTTAAGGAAAAATATTTTTAAAAATGAAAAAAAGTTAATCTGAAAAAAATTTTTTAATAAAAAATAGAAAAATTTAAAAAATGTAGAAATTTTTAAAAAGAAAAGCTTCCTGCTGAGATTTCAAGAAAAGTTTTCCTGTGAGTGGCGTGTATGTACTTCTGTGTTTTTTATTACCTGGAGAAATGTCTTGGCCCATAACCGTGATCTGACTTTCAGGACTGCACTTTCTCCTCCTTCTAATCGTCTCACTGCACAGGAGATTTGTAAACACTCGATATTTGTACAATTCTGCAAAAAACAACAACAGTTGTGGCAAATCAGTGTCTTTAGAGTGTGGTAGAGAATCAACATTTAAGTCAATTTATTTATATCTTATTTCCTCAGAAGCCATTGCCTAATCCATAAATTAATAATTTAAATGAAGAAGAAATACATTAAAACAACCAAGAAAAAACACAGTTTGGTAGCAATGATGCATCAACTTCAGTGGTAATGTAGAGATAAAATGGAACATAAATACAACACAAAATTTAAGCTCTTTTCTAAGGACTTAAAACAAGCTCTGCAGCAGCAATTTAATTGTTTCATTTTCTCAGAAGTCAGGAAGACATTTCTTATAGACATTCACAACAGCTGACCCTGGACTAAACAACGTCCCGAAAAGGCTTTCAAGGGAGGTCCCTGAGTGTATATTATCTCAAAGACCCAAAGTTATTAACCCTCTGACAAGCATTTCTTCCATAACATTCTTCTCTCCATCTATATTTCCTGATTACAAAGCAGGATCTTCTGAGAGTTCCTGCCACAAAGCCGTTTTTAAACTAGTTTCTAGGGTTACCCAACTTACAATGAGTAACCTTTAATATATGAAAAGTATGTCCCTGGAAATACTCATTATGATGACATTGTACCTATCAAATCATATTTTCTGATTGGATCCAGTATGGAAATAAATGGAAACTTCACATCCATTTTCCATGTGCTCATGTAGAAGATGATACTTCTCGAACTGTACTCCTAGTCCCTCACTGATTTGAATTTATCGTGTGGGCTATTCTTTATTTTTAATGTCTCAAGCACTGGGCACTGACCTGTAGATGCTCCATAAAAACCAGCTTCTTGGATATTATGTGAAGTAATTGGCTGAGACATTTCATTTTAGTGAAATTGATAAACCACAAAGTAGTAACCTGAGGAACATACTGCCATGAAAACTTTTTTTTTGAGAACCTCAGGATTCTTTAAAAACCAAACCATCCGTAATGTGTATCTGGTAAATTCCAGTAAGGTTAGATTTTTTTTATGAGGTTTCCAAACGCAGGTGGCTGGGCTGCTCTTGTTCTACTGGAGTTGGGCACTGAGGGGTTGGGGGTCTTGTGTCTCCAGCAGGAGCAGGAATTCTCAACGTTCTGCAGTTCACGCCACCTGTGAGGACCCTCATGTTTACTATGCTCCATATTGGACATGTTGCATATGACCAATCCAGCCCTCTGGAAGAGAAGGAGGCTGTGAGTTAGAGGAGGTAATTCTTGTAAACTCCCTGAAGATGATGATCATGGTTAGCTAAGTCTGTAGAAGGATTTTGGAGGTGATGCTTGGAATGAATCTTGAAGGGTAAGAGTTACCTAGAAGTACAGGATGGTGGGGATATGGGTTTCTTGTATAAGATCAATGTGTGTTCAGGAAAGAGGAGAAAAGGGTATTTTTGGGTGGGGTGGACAGATACCGGTGGGATAGGGAAGAGAGAAAGTGTAGATGATAAAGAATCTTCCTATTTGTGCTAAGGACTTTAGATTTTATTTGGAAGGCAGAGGGGAGCCCGTGAAGCATTTTAAGCAAGGGATATGATCATGTTTGTATTTCAGAGGTCAGGTGGTATATGAGGAAAATATGGAGAGAGGAGAGTGGGAGACAAGGAGGATGGAAAGTGCTTGTTGCAAGAGTCCAAGTGAGACACGATGAGGCCCTGAACTGAGGCAGTGGGAATGGGAAGAGGAAGATGCATTTTTAGAGGTTTCAGAAGTAGAATAGATACATGGTGATTAATTGAAGGTTGGGACGAAGGAGATGGAGGGGAGAAGGGAGCTGTCTTGGCTTGGGGAACTAGGTGGATGGGTACTGACTGGCATTACTGTGATTGGGAATTCTAGAGAAGAAGCGCATGGAGACAGAGTTTTGGACATGTGGGGACTGGGGTGTCTATCAGACATCCAGATGAACATACACAGCGAGCCCTTCAAGTCTCAAATGCAGTAAGAGAAGGCTAAGATGGTAGGAGGCACCTAGGAATGCAAGAAATTTCCTGCAAAGAGCCAAGTTAATGAGAGACAAGAGAAGGGGCTGAGGATGGAATCCTAAGGTCTGGGAGCACTTAAGCATGGGGGAAGAGAAGTCCATGAAATATTCAAAGTGGCAACTCAAAAGGTAGGAAGAGAACTGGGAGAGAACGTTCTGGGGGAAGCCAAGGGAGGTGATGGTTTCAGGAAGTGGTAAAGAGTATCAAGTGCTGAAGAGGGTTAAGAAAGATAAGGTTTCTGTAAACTGAGTTAGTGAAAGGAGAAGAAAGTGGGAGAGGAGATGGGGGTGATTAACTGCAAAAGCAGCAGGGGCCCAAGATGAGAAAGGCAAGGACATTCTTAGGCAGGGAGAAATTACATTTCAGTGTTACAGATACAGATTTTTCCTATGCAAATTGGAAATTATGATCCCAACACAGGATGTTGGCATTTTGCACTTCCAAATTCCTAATCAGAAATGTGATCCAGTCGGTTGTTTGTAACTAAACAAAAACGGTGGGAGGTCTTATTTAGCTTTTGATTTTAGAATAAACTTTGCATAATCACTTTCTATCCAGGATTATTTTGACTTGAGGACATGGGGAGGCATATGATTTGCAATTTTTCAACCAATAAGAGAGAAAGGGAATAAAATATGAGTTAACAAAATCAGACATGGAAATCAAGAATTGCCTTGCTCTCATCTGCAAGTAATAAGTTTCTATGATATTCAGAGGTTAGAAATCATCTTGCATTAAAAGTTTTTAATGAGGAAAAAATGGAGGAAAAAAATCTTATTCTATAACAGATCACATAGTTTACAAAAGAATTATTTTGGTTATTGATCTCCACTGCCTTTTGTACTCATGAGACATATGCTGGAGTGGAAACTGAAAAACATAGTTGAATCTTGATTTTCTAAATTGTTGGTCTCATAGGTTTGGACATTGACTCTCCAGAGGGCTTTCCCATTGGTACTGCATATTAGGATTCTATAGATGTCAATCATTTAAAAAATATTTAAAAAATTTTAATGAGGTATAAATGACATGTAATCAGATTCAGATGTATAACATAATGAATTGATATTTGTATATATTGCAAAATGATCACCATAGTAAGTCTAGTTAACATCTGTTACCATACAGAGTTGCATTTTTTTTTTCTTGGATGAGATCTTTTAAGATTTACTTGCTTAGTAACTTTCAAATACATAGTACAGTATTATTAACTATAGTCACCATGCTGTATATCATATCCCCAGGACTTGAGTCATTGTTTTCTGTTCTATTATTCCTCCTGGAAGCCTTTTAAAAATGATAATATACAGAATTATATAAATTTATTCTAAACTCAACAGCATATTGATTCCCTATGCTTACATTTTAAAAAATGTTACAGTATCATCGAATCATAGTCTGCCAACTTCTATAGATTTTGCCATGTCATCTCAGGTAGTTTGATTATAATAAACACCCCTCTCTTATTAACTTCAGTTTAACTGATTAAGTTAAACGTGCTTGTACTTTTCTATCCATTTCTACATTTGAAACTTTTTATATTGTCAATATGAAATAAATAAATGTCAGAGCATGTTCAAGACATATATTTTTTAAAAACCAATTCTAACCCTTTACATTCTTGAAATCCATTAACAGTCACATTTTATGTTTTCATCATTACTTCCCCAATGTGGCCTCCGCAGCAGGTTGAGAAAGGTGAAAACGTTCTATTGCAAATCCTCATTAGTCCCCATAGAAAAGTCAGTTTCATTTCTCACAATATGTACCGCCAGAAAAATGCTAGGCATATCTGAGCATCGGAGGAGAGTGAACGACAATACTTGAAGTTAAAACCATCTGTATTGGGGAGTTCTGAGCAATCTGACCTTTGACTCGGCTCTGTGCATGCGGAGAGGACTCACCAGGATTTTTGTGGGGTTTTGTCTGTGGAGCTCCAGCACAGGCACGTTTCTTTTCCTGACAAGATGAGGGATGGTTGAGTTGCGCAAAAAGGCGCTCAGCTCAGGGGTGTCCTCTGAGGGGGTGGCTGGCTGTAAACAGAAGGAAGAGACATCACATACACTCGCATGAACGCTTGCTACCTTTTCATTAGCCTTGAACTCTAGGCAATTTTTTTCTCAACTGAATACGATTCGCATGAGAATTCAGACATGTTCTGACTTACCAGCAGCATGTTCAACAGCAAAACGAACCCTACCGAAAAGGAACAACCTTTCCATTCTCCAAGTCTAGGCATTCATGAGGCCTAAGGAATGCACTTGGAAAGTTTATGTTGTAAGGATGAGAATTTAAGCAGAAGAGATTTCCCCAGAAGGATAGAAAACGTGGAGTGACTTTCCAGCCTGACTCATTGTTCTCTCATGACTTTCTTCTCATTGTTACTGGCGTTGGTTAAACTGAGGAACTTTCTGTGTGAGGAATGGCAGAATCGTGAGGCGCTGATCATGTGAACACAGCCTGATGTGACCAAGGACCTGACTTTCGCACATCTGAGCCCCACCCTCCTGTATTTCTGAGAAGTGCTGCCTTAGGAGAGAACCCCGTTCTAATGAAAATGACTTTTCCAGAGCATGCCCCATGAACACTGTGCCGCAACGGAGCTTGTTTTCAGCCCTGAGTCAGTTTTGCAAGTATTCTAGAATTTATGATTTTATCTCAGGCTCCAAGCTGGGTACATCTGATGGTTGAATACGTATTTTGAGAGTTCTAATAAATCACACATCATACCCCATTAACATTCTTTATTTGGCACTACCTGAATACAGAAGCCTAATTTTCTGCTCTTCCCGCCCCACCTCCCACAAGCACATTTTCTTTTTCATACAGTTTCCCTTTGTCGTCACAGGAGCTATAATTGTATGGTCATCTCCGTGGGAAGAAAAAAAATATCCCCACATTGCAGGTGCAGGATGAACCACAAAAGATGAAATGATAGTGCTCAGCGTGTCCTAGGAACCTAGAAAAATCTACCGGACAAACAGAAAGAGAGAGCCCAGAGTCCCTAGTGTGTCACGCACAGCCGTTTAGGCACTGGCCTCGGCCTGCTTTCCAGCCTCATTTCTCACAACAGTCTCTTGCATCCTGATCTCTTGCATGTAGAACTGCTCCCTATTGCTCACCTGCCCCATGCTGACCTCAGCCCTTATTTGATGTACCCCCTGATGGCTGTTCATAATCAGCACCTATTGAGGTGCGCAAAAGTGCCTGCTGATTGGTCTGAGATGCTCAGTGAGAAAACGGAAAATGAGAAGCAGAAAGTTACATAGGAGATCCCAGGAAATATCCGAAAACAAGGAGAGGAAGAAGATCCAGTGAGGAAAAGAAAGATGGGGGACATCAGACATAGGAGACAATCCAGGAAAGTATGAATCGATGGAAGCCTAAGGACATGAAAGTTGCAAAAAGATGGGAGTGACTAAGAATGTCAGAACCTGTAGAGGAGAAAAGAAGAGTTAGGACTAAATGTATTCATTGAATTTGTCACTTGAGAAATTATGGACATCTGATCCAGCAATTCCACTTCTGGGTATTTATCCAAAGAAAATGAAAACACTAATTTGAAAAGATATCTGTACCCCCATGTACCTTGCAGTATTTACAATTGCCAAGACATGGAAACAACCTAACTGTTCATGGATGGATGAATAGATAAAGAAAATGTGGTATCTCTATATCTATCTGTCTGTCTGTCTGTCTGTCTGTCTATGTATCTATGTATCTATCTATCTATCTATCTATCTATCTATCTATCTATCTATCTATCTATCATTCTACCTACCTACCTATGATGGAATATTATTTAGCCATAAAAAGGAAATTTTACTTTCTGTGACAACATGGGTGACCTTGAGGGCATTGTGTTAATGAACTAAGTTAAACAGAGAAAGACAAATAGTGTATGAGCTCACTTATATGTGGAATCTAAAAACAAACACACAGACAAAAATGGAACTCACAGTTACAGAGAAGAGATTGATGGTTGCCAGATTGGTGGCAGGCAGGTGAAATGAGTGAAGGAAGTCAAAAGGCTCAAACTTCCAGTTATAAAATAAATAAGTCCTGGGATGTAATGTACAGCATGGAGACTATAGTTAACAATACTGTACTATATATTTGAACGTTGCGAAGAGTAGATGTTAAAAGTTCTCATCCCAAGAAAAAAAATTATAATTGTGTTGTGAGGGATGTTAACTAGACTTACTGTGGTGATCATTTACAGTATGTACATATACCGAATCATTATGTTGTGCATCTGAAACTAATATAATGTTATATGTCAATTACATCTTGATTTAAAAAAAAAGACAAAGGATTTATGGGTGCCCTTTCTTGAACAAGAAATTAGGATGGGTGGAAATTGAACTGCAGAAGCTAAAGAGTGAATAGGTTTGAACAAATGGATAATCTTTTTGAAAAAGTATGAAATGAAATCTTTATCTTATTCTCCTGTTGAAGCCATTCCCAATGACTCAGAGATAAGTGAGATGCAGCCTTGTTTCCCAAATAAGAAAGCACCAAAACAAAATGTGAATGTTCTTAGCAGCTATTTATAATGGAGACAAAAGATAATACTATAAAACTTTATGGGTTTACGTAGGTTACTGGTTAAATAAATTAATGACATTTATACAAAGACTACTGGATAGTTTTTTAAAATGGCGATGTAGAGATACATAGTAATTTAGAAAGATAGACAATCTTTGTAAGGGGATAAGAAAAGGTTACAAAACAGCAAACATAATAAGATTGTGAATTTTAATAGAAAATGAATGTATACTTACCCTGTATATCTAGAAATAGAAAAACAAATCTGGAAGAATAGTTGTCTAAGTATTACCAGTGGTAGAGATTTGATTATATTAAGCAGGTTTTGTTAATTTGTTTTTAAGTAAGATAATGATATTACCAATTTTGAAAGAGTATACTAAATTATTGGCAATATACAGTGAAACAGAAAAATAAATTAATGCATAAATAAATAAGAAATGTAACAGGAAATGAGTGGTGACATCACTAGAAATTTAGAATTTTCTTTTTTATGTTTTTCCATATTGCCTGATACAGTCTTATGATGGACATTTAGTATTGTTTAATATGAAAACAACAACAATAACAACAACCAATCCCATTTTACAATTATAATGAGAGTAAAAGTGAAATAAGCAAGTTGGGACAGCAAGTGCAGCTTGGCTAAAAATGGAAGGAAAGGGGCTCATTCGGGAAAAAGATGCAAAGCTCAGTTATGTGCTTACTGTTTGTTTTGAGGATGGAGGAAATTTAAGTCAGCTTATAGGATCCAAGGAAGGAACTAGTAGAGAGTAAGGGGTAGAGGATGCAGGAAACAGAGGGGACACTTAAAGTTAAATCTGGAAGTGGAGGAAGAACTCTTCTTCCTCTAAGAGTGTCAGGAAGGAGCTGGGGATGAGGAAGAGATGATTAGAAGGTGTGAGTGGGGGTGGGGGAGTTGGGGATGGGGAAATGGGCCATTCGAAGATTCTCTTGCTTGAAGGTCACCTGCTAACAGCAATGCTAGAGAGGCAGGACAGGTACAAGGACAGTAATGAAGGTTTGGAGAAGCCAACGAAGAGAATGGGAGGGAGAGACCATCAGAATGGCAGCGGGGATTCCTCAAGATGCTGGCTGCCCAGTGAGCACTTCCCACCAGTATGCTAAGGGGTAGAGAAGCCAGAATACTGGACTGTGCATGATTGAGATTCTCAGGGCAGGGATTTGGGAGGATAGAGAAGGGAGGTTAAGTAAGGGAGCTTGTAAAAGCATGCTTCAGCTAACTCATTGTGGATTCCTTGCTTGGCAGGAAAGGAAGTATGGCCAAGGGCAGTCTTGAGAGTGAGGTGGGTTAACTAACTCAGAGAAAGTTTTCATATCAAGGAGGAAAAGATCTCGTTGGATAGAAGCGAGAAAGTTATAAAAATCAGACATTGGTTTGGGGGCTTGGACATTGAATTAAATATTTCAGAGGCAGTGTCCTTCAAAGTGATAGACAAAGGACTGGGGTGATGAAGGGCATAGAAGTGAAGAGTCAGCCCCACGGATGCTGGAGTATTCCAAGACAATGGCAGGCCTGGCTCAGTGAGAAGGAGTGAAAGCCAGGAGCTGCTCAAGGAGAGTCTGATAGAAAAGCCTTAACAGCATAAGGTTAAAATCTGAGCTTAGATAGAAAATTGTGAAAATCTCGAAGATCTCCTTATATTCTCTCTCTCTCTCTCTCTCTCTCTCTCTCTCTCTCTCTCTCTCTCTCTCTCTCTTTCTCTCTTTCTCTCGCTCTCATCAAACTACAGAGAAGAGGTACTGGAAGGAACTCGGGGGTGTTTCTTTATTCCCAAGTTACAGCCCATTATTATTATTAGTAGTAGTACTAGTAGCAGTAGTAGTAAAATAATAAAAGAAAACTCTTCAACTTCCTGTGTGATGCAGCTGGTGTACAGATAAAGAACGCATCCTATAGTGGCCCCTGGTATATCATCATTCACAAATATTTACAAGTGTCTTTCAGTGAAACACAGGACTGACTTTGAGCTATAGAATGACTATATCACACAGTCGAGGCTGATAAAACACATTTCTAATTTCAGAACATTCTTTTGCAGATAGAAGAATGCTACCCTTAAACAACATAGTCAGCCAGTCTTCAAATGGCTTGCAAACCAGTTTTCTCAAATGGTATTCCAGAAATTATTTCAAAAACAAAACAAAACCTCCAAACACACACACACACACACACACACACACACACACACACACACACACACAGAAGAAGTACTCCAAGAAATGTAAACAACAGTTACAGGCTATTTTCTAGATGAACTTTTGGAGCCTGTTTCACAATTGATCGTGAACCCACAGGTCACGTTTTTCCTTAATTTGAAATCCTTCAAGGTGAGGGAGGCTGGCCTCTCAGCAACCATTTTAGGCAGACATTCAAGTTCAGAGTAACATTTGCTAAGTGCTGTGAGAAGCTGGTGGTAAACACTAGAGTATCTTCAAAACAAATATGAGAATCGTTCCTTTC